TTTACATTCTATAACAAACGCAATATCAGTTATACACTTATATGTACCTAAAGTGTTTGATTTGATTTTATTGCTTATTTTGATGGTTTTATTTGGGTGTTGCTTCAACATTTACATACACATGTGGGTGGATCGATTAATATATTTCAAATTATTTTTAACAAAACTGGAATATAATTTATACGATTTATTATAAATTTATTTATTTATGACTATTTGATTTTTAAAAATGTGTATTAATAAAATATAATAATCATTATATTATAATATACCTACTAGTATATCAATGAATTTGGTTGTAAAAAATACTTTGTAAGATATTTAATATAGTATCTGCTATAAAAAAATGTAATTTTTATTTAATTTTTCCATATTATTTTAAGTTCTAACTAATACCAGGGATTAATATTTTTGGTGTCTGAAATATTATAGTCTAATAGTACTTGATAAATATTTTGTTATATTTTTTAAAATGTTCAGAACAATATTAAATATAAGATTATTGGTTTTTTTGTAAAATTAGAAAAAACGGTTACAACTTTACACAAAAGTCGTTCTTTATAATATTAAAATTAAATAATGTTGCACACTATCAACTGCAGTGACTTTTTCTAAATAAAAGTCAAGTGATAAAAAAATATGATGAATACTCGTTTTAATCTTCACCTCGTCGATTATGAACACAATTTGTGATCTCGTGGTTTACGTCTATACTTTTAAGAGATATGTTATAATAATTTCATTTGGATTATCCAAAACTATGAAAACAATTAAATATCGTTCAATTATTTTCACTTTTGCACACGTACTAAATGTATGTTAAGGTATACTTATACTTATACTTTTACCTGGAATTGCCATTATCATTGATCAATATATACATTATTACTCTCGAATATAAGCGATATTTTACTTGGTCAATGTTGTTCAACCTAGGCCGATATATTATTATTTAATATTTTGATACTCTGAGTCATAGTAGTTTTTGCTCTTGTTGGGAAAAACATTTGTGTGACACTACAACGTCGTCACTTATTTGAGAGGTCATCATCAGAGGAACCATTATGTATTTATACGCATCGGCCCAGCTGATGTATAACTTTCTCGATCGGAAGCCACATAAAATTTGTTATTTGTTTATCGGTCAAACTTCATATTTCATTGCAATTAACATAATTACCGGCGCTTTTCGTAAACACTGTCCATCAGCCAATAATTACTGTAGACGACGTCTTTAATAGTTATTACCTGATCGGTTGTCGACTGGAGAATTCCATAACACGATCGTCGTCGCGAGTGCAGCACACTCGATGAATGTTGTATTCGCTCCCGCTCGCGAAACTCGTACGATATTATTCTGTAAACCGTCGCAATTCAGAACGAAAGCGACCGAAGCCATCTACATAGGACGGACGGAAATTTAGTAAGAATATTTTCGATATCTATATAATAAAACACATAATAAATATTATGTACATATTTACCTTGACATGAATTTAAAAAGTTAATACTGGTTGATGACAGAAAAAAATGTATCCGCGACCACACAATAATGTACGATTTTCAATTGTGAGAAATTTCAACTGCGTGCACTGAACCTGATTTGTTTGTGTTGCATTATTTTATGAGTGTGAATCATGATGACTATCTGAGATGCTGTTGCTTTTATCTGGTCGTTGAGTCACGTATTATGTAATTGTTACAAATCGTCCGGTATCTGATAGGTAGCAGTCTAGCATAATAATAAAGTCGTATGACACAGTTTTCAAGTTAGACGATTAAAACTTTTACAATACCAATTTAAATGAGTAATTCGATCACTATTCTACGCGTGTACTTACCGACGTAGACAATAAAGAAATTAACACTGAATGCTATGCCTACATTGGCTGCATTGTCAATAATTTATTATGTGTATTAATAATTATTAATAATCACATATTTACATTTTACAATCATCCAATGATAAGTCAATAATGAATACGATTATTCAATAAATTATAAACCATCATCCTCGCGAGGAAATAAAATCAACAAAACAAATGTATTTAAACCACATTCCAAATTTTTAATCTTAAATATTACAATATTTGAATATAAACATTGGTAAAAAGTAATTTTAGTGTTTTATTGGTATAAATATAATTTTGAAAGCAATGACAGTTTAATGAAAACTAAACACTATGTGGAGCTCGGTTTATTATTGTATTTAAAAATTTCAAGTGATTATAGTTTATACTAGTATTTTATTTTATAAGATATTTAAGTGTTTTAACTAAACAATGCTTTTCTAAATCAATTTAATATAGTAGTTAAGTAATAATTAAAGTACGGGTGAATATGATATGAGTGAGGTTTATAATAAGAATTATACAAAAAAAATAATAACATCGATTTGGTCAAAACTGGTGTTGCATATTAAATAAAACGTTTTAAATGATTTTTTTTCCAAAGTACTATCTACTTATTTTTTGTTTGATTAATGATTATAACAGTTTTCAAGATTATTTATTAGGTTTGACTAGGCATTTTAAGTTAAAATTTTTTGCAATATTCGTCTAAACCACATAATTCTTAAATTATTTTGTGATTAAAGGTATACCTATTTAATAACTTGAATTAATTACAAGATTCCTTATAGGTTTTTCATGCTTGAATTAAAAATTTAAGTTTGGAATATTTTTTTTATTATTAGAAAACAAGAATATATACAACCTGTAACAAATGTATACAATAGCCAATAGGTAATATGAGAGGGAGTACAAGTGTACAGGACACTTTACTGCGTGATAGAAGGAAGGTCCAATGACCCTACTTCATAACTAGTTTAGAGTAGGTACAACATTTTTTTTATGATAGTATTAAATTTAAAATTTAAAATAACAATTTATTCAGAGACGATTTTTGTTTTTCTCTTTTAATTCACAAAATATTAATCCAACAAACAAAACCGTTATTACTTAAATTCCATTTACATTCTATATAAACGAAGTATTTATAAAAAATTCAGACTAATTTAAGCTGATTATAGACATTTGACATTTTCAAGAAATTATTCTAATTAAATTCAACATAGTTAGTATCATAGTTTGTATCATAATATTATTAAATTAAAGATATCAAAAGTAAATAGGCCCAATTTTTTTATAAGCATTTTAATTTCTTAGTTATATTCTCACAAAATCTGATATTTAAATTTAAAATATCGATCTCAATAAATTATTATATTGTAATTCAAAAAATATTTTATAATACAATAAATAATTATAATGATAAACCTAAGGTGTATAAATGTATTATAAAATGTTTATAGAAATTAGAAATATAGGAAACAGACTATCTTTTCTCAGAATCGTTTATCACTATTTTCAATTTTAACACATCCATTAGACATCCAGTGACCTAGGTACTCAATAATGAGCTCTACTACGAATTTTACTATTCAGCCGGTGAATAGCTCTGGGTTATTGGGATATTTTAATTTTGAAAATTTAATATATTTCCACGGACAAAATAATGTCTCACATTTAATATAAATCAATATAAAGGAATAAATTGAATATTTTTTTTATACGATTGACAGTTTTTCAAATATGAATCACTAATTTGTTCACCAAACACGTTACCTGATAATGTTTCAGTAAAATTAAATGACACTTATACCAAAATTAAAAGACAAAAGTATGTACAGACAACAACAAAATTATAATACGATTATCTTCTTATCCTTAATAATTATAAAAAATAGAAAATTTTTCGACGAAAAACAATAATACATTTACAATTTATATCATATTTTTTGACCCATGCTAGTCAACTAAAATTTGGTTTTGAGATCTAAATAATGTAAGTATTTTATTTCATGTTTGTAGGCAGCATAAAATATACACTTTATATAGCTGTATTACCTGACTTCACCCTGGTTAAGACAAATCTATATTTCTATCGATTTCAGTTTTGCTTTAGTTGAAATATAAATAAAAACATAATCAAAATTGTGAATTTTATTATTTTCCACTTCTTAATGCTGGGCATATTTTTTATGTAAAAACCAAAGACTGGAGACCGATTCAACGAATGCTTAAAATCCTACGTAAATCCTGCAATATCTTTAAGATTGGTATTCATTACAAAACACTTACATCAAAAATATGTCCAGTATTAAAAAAGTAAATCATGATTACAAATCATTAAAGTAATTATTGCTATTGTGTTCATAAATATTTGATTTTAAGATTTTTTTTTTTAAATATATTTGTAAAAATTTGTTCATGACATATTAATTATATAAATTATAATAGTAATATAATATGTAACCAAAGAACAAAGACAACCTTTTAAATAAACAATTTTTGTGAGCCAAAATTAAATCCATGTGTGATCTACTATATATAGTAGGTTAAAAAGAAGTGCGTATTATGAGTACTCGCGGATAAAATGAAACTTTTTTCAGAAAACAAAAGGGTAAAAAAGCTGGTTCACCCAACCGGAATCATTCCCGCAACATCGTGGTTAATAGCTCATGGTATTGACCATTACTCTATTGTATGTGTCGTGACATTATCTTCTTCTTTTTTCGTACCCCTTGTAAAGAAGTTTCACTTCAAAAAAATAAGCTGTAAACACCCTCCTAGTCTCAAGGAATCTATTGATATAACTTTAATGAAAACAACCAAGTATTTTTTGAGTACCTATATAGAAGATATATATTTACATTACATATTATAATCTATATTATTAAATCTATTAGTTTAAGAAAGTGTAGGTTAGATCAAACAAAATATTAACTAATTTGGAATCTAAAAACTATAGCATATCATTTATATTTAAAATCGTACAAAATATGAAAGGACTTTAGACTGAGACTAACAGTATAGATTCATATATCTTATAATTATTCCCATGGTATATTATAACGAAATTATTATTATTATTACTTCAACTATTTAAATGGATATTTTTTTACTGTAATTTTAGGAAACACATCAAGAGAAAAAATCATGGCGAATGTGACGCAAGCATCATTGAATGATTTCATGTCTGAAACACAAGATCAGTTATTGAAATTATTTGAAAAAGAGCTAGTTTTTGGCAAGTATATTCAAATATTAATTAATTATTTCCTTATTTATAAATGTATGAACAATACCTAAGCATTATTATTTATTACCGACCATCGATTGCCATATTTTGTCGTACCCTCACGTATGCATTATGTTACGTGGGTACATACTTATGTATTCAGTTACTCGCACATGGGTTGAACAATCATTAATAAACTAATAACTGCATACCTACTACTAAACTGTTATGATTAATATTGATAAAATATTATTATAGATGAAGTGGTCGACTCGTGGCCGCTGATGAGTACACCATGGCCAGTACTCTCAATATTATCTATGTACTTATTGTTTGTATTAAAGCTGGGCCCAAATATGATGGAAAACCGAAAACCGTTTAACATTAAATATGTGATGCTTTTGTATAATGCTATACAAACGCTTTATAATGGTTGGCTTGTAAGCTGGGTGAGTTAATTTTTTGTTAATTTACTATACTAAACCATATGTATAAACATTCATAATAAATTATTATAATTTATAATCATAAATATATTTTAAAAGTATCCGTTAGAAGTAAGTTCACATATTGTGTAATACATATGTGACGCGAGAAACGTCGGAAAATATTACCAAAACCAGTTTGAAAATATTTCTTTTTCAACAGAAAATAAAATATTGCATAGGTATGATTTATACAAATGTATTTATTTATTAAAAAATTTGCAACTATTTTATTGGAAGAGTTGTTATGATACTTATGAAGTTTAGTACTGCATTCAAATTAATAATATATTATAAGCTAATCTTTATATATATATATATAAAGGTACCTATTATATATACCTACTTATAGTACAAATAAATATTCTTTTATTACTTTTTTCTATTTTAGTTCTTTTTCACGCCTGGAGCAGTGGATTACCATGTGAATCATTTATGTCATCCACTTCCTCGAAATCTCAATCAATTTCTTATACACGAGGTAAATAAAACCAAGCTGATAAATTAAAATCGTTATCTTTCTATATTAATTCATTGTATACATTTGTTTTTATAATACTTAACTATATTATTTTGAATTTGTTTCAGTTAAACAAAGGGTCATGGTTTTTTTTCCTATCCAAAGTAATTGATTTGTTGGACACAGTAAGTATTTGCCTATTTTTTTCTTAAAAACTATACGTTAATAAATTAAAAATATATTATTTTTCTTCATATGGTTAAACACCTTATTATTAGTTATTACAATGTTATTGAATACAATACCTACAACAATATTGAACAAACCAATCTAAAACTTCTAGTTCCTCAACCAAAATTAAATTATATTATGTATCCAATTACATCTTATACATAAAACTATAAAAAGTTCACATTCTGTTGGTAACAGTTATTGATATCGTATATTATTTTTTGAATATTAGATTTCAATAATCATTTGGAAGTCCACTCAACACCTGCAGTATCTCTAAGTGCATATTTCTGTAAATAATTGATGTATTATATTTACTTCACACTTATTTACATATTTGTAACACATTGTGCAATAACAGTAATAACTAATAAATAAAACCATTAAATGTGCAATAATTAGGAATTCTTTGGTCAAATATGTTGCGAGTCTAAACATATTACTTTGCATATTATTTTAATATTAAATTCAATAATGTATGAACATTGAACAAGTATAAATTATAAATACCTTACCGCATATTATAAGTAGCAGTACCTACAATATAATGATGAAACCATTCTTATTTCTTCTACAGAAATTCTATATATTTTACATGACAATTCTTATTACTACTATGGAATAATTTATCTACTTGTTTATCACGTTACAGGTGTTTTTCGTCTTAAGGAAAAAACAATCTCAAGTATCATTCTTACATGTTTATCATCATGTGAACATGGTAATCACTTGCTGGGCTTACCTACGGTTCATAAAAGGTAAAAATGTATTTTTAATTGTTATTCTTATGGAAGTAGAATATTTTACAAATAATAATTAACTTGGAATCGTAATTTAATCAGTCAGTTGCGTTACCTACCAACAATTGTCAGTTATTCTTAATTTTTATAACTAAGAAACTTTAATTATTGATTTTAAGAATTAACACCAACAATTGTACTGGCATTTTATGCGTATAATGTATAAATTCATAGTTATGATACGTCGATAGATTAATAAAAAATACATAAAATTGTTTAATTTTACTTTAGAGTAGAAGTGTAAAACTAAAAAGGTGGGCAAGTGGGTGTCGCTTTGCTGTACAGTAGGTTACAAGTGGGTCACTGTATAATGGATGATATTAAATTTGAATTCAACGATATAATATCATTGTATAAGAAAAACGATTCTGAGCGGAAACGGTAGTCTATGGTACTAAACCAAAATTTGACCTATAATAGGTACCTATAATAAATTCCAAATTAATCATATCACAATATCCATTAGGTACTTATAACGCGTTATACATCAACAAAAACCGTGATACTATCATAGATATATAACAGTACACTTTAGAAGTTTCAAGTACCCACGAATAATATTATTCAATCACAACAAAATAACTAAAATAGTTATTCTAGGTTTTTTAATATGGAATTTCGTCCAAATTTGAATTTCAAATGTCTGTAAAAAATAACTGTGTTCATATATTTATTAGAATTTTTGGTTACAGTATGAACTATTTATGAGAATCTTTTTTTTAAATTCGCAATCCTTAGCTATAAAAACTGAACATTTTATAATCTATTAATTACAATGATTGATAATTTTCGAGATTTTGATAAATTTTGTCAAAATTCGATCTTTAAATGATTATAAAAAAAACTGTGCCTATATATTTTTAATATTTTTCGACTGATATTGTAACAATATATCAGCAGGACCTTGCATTAAATTTTTACACTTTTTGACCCAACAGATAAAATTTTATTGATATTTATAGAAAAAAAAACTAAAAAAATTGAAAAATGAAAATATCCGTAAACAGCTCAAAAAGAGTCAAAATATTTTCAAAATGTTATGGTGTATAGGATATGCTAATCTGAACATTCAGTGAAATTTTCATGTATCTACAGTTGTTCATTTTTGAATTGCAACAAAATAAAGAAATCGCTACATGAGTAATCGAGTGTAAAATGTCCAATATCCAATGTTGTAAAAATTTGAATTTCAAACGCTCATAAAAATTTAATTTGACTGTCCGGTAGAAATTTTTTTATTGATAAAGGTAGACAAACTTATGAGTAATCTTGTATTACATTTTCAAATCTTAAATTTAAAAAGAAAAATTTTTACGAATTCTTAACTCAAAATAATTTGCTAATTTTCGTGATTTTTCCATATTTTGTCAATTTTTGAACTTTAAATGCTTATAAAAAAAAACTGTGACTAACGATATTTAATATTTTTCATCTGCCTTTGAAACAATATACTAGGAGCCTTCTATTAAATTTTCAAGTTTTTTTAACCAACAAATAAAATTTTATTGATACCTATTTCTAGAAAAAAAACTAAAAAAAAATGAAATATGAAAATGTCCCTAAACAGTTCAAAATAAATCAAAATATTTTGAAAATGTTATCGTGTATAGAAAATGCAAATATAAACAACCAGTGAAAATTTCATGTATCTACGGTCATTTGTGTTAAAGTTACACCAAAAACCAAATTCAATTTTCTGAAAAATCGTTTTTGCTTAAAAATTCCCGTTTTTGCTTAATTTTTCTTTTGTTTTTCTTGGCGCTTTTGAAAAGTACTGGGAATTTTAAATTTTGACCTCCCCAATGCACCAACGATATTCACTTTCCAATCGAACAAGATACTGAAGTCGAAAATCGAAGCATTATTTCGACTACTTACCGTGTACACAGACACAAGAAAAATAAAAAAATAAAAAAACACACATCACTGTAAAATCAATACATTCATCGTTCCACTCGGAATCTAAAATAGTAAAACTCTGATGTCACTTTTTTATACATAAGTTTTCTCAACTTACTTAATCTGTATAGTGTTTTAGTGTTAGTTGTATAAAGGTACAATGTATAATGTATATTATATAATATCTGTATCATAATGAATTAAAATCATATAATAAACATTTTTAAGAAGTGTCCGAGTATAATGAATACCTTTTAGACTAAATATTACATAAAATATTTTATATTTTTTGTAAAGTCGGATTACCTAATAGGTACCCTATGACCTATTCAAATTTAGATTTTAATGCATCAACAATTTCAAAAAAATCATCGGTTTCACAATTAACAGTAAAAAAGGGTTGAAAAAAAAGGTTATAATTAAGTTTCAACAAAAGAAGTTTGTTTCGCCTCTTAGTACTCCTTATATGGTTTAAAAAGTTTAAGTATATGGAAATATACCTAGTCTTTAAGTGTAAATACTCAAAAATCCAAAAAATCAGAATTTTAATAAATTGGTTATTACTTATTACTTAATATTATAGTATGAAAGGAGGCTGTACATTGAGAACATACTGTATGACTCATTTAACATCCATTATCTCAACAAATATAAACGTTATTGAAAATAATTTAATTATTATATATTTTACACATTTTTTTAAAAATAATTTATGTTTCTTACTTTTTTAATGAAAACATTTAACATTTTTCACTTTAAGTTTCATATTCCGAATCCAACAATTTTTCTTAAAATTTTAATATACAAAAATCAAACTTCGAACAAGTAGATAATTTATTATAAATATTTTAAGTTTAGATAAGTGAAGTAGTGAATCATCATTTTGTGGGGTACCACTGTGCCACTCTAATACGCTCACTTAAACTTTGAATACGTACTTATAGTTATGAATTACAAGTTCAAAATTAAATTTTTATCTGTCGAAATATTTTGATAAATATTAATTTAAGATATTAAAGTGTTGAATGTAATAAATAAGTAAAAACGATGATAAATAGAAAAAATGTTCTCAAATGTTGATTATTAATAATTCCAATTAGGTACCTATGTAAATAAAAACTTTTACTTTTTTATATAAATTGTTTTGAATGTTAAAATAATCACTCTTTATAAAAAGCTTTTATTTTATGTCTTTAAAAAATAAATACTGTCACAGTTGTTTAATATAAATACATTTTTAAATGTAGGTACTAGGTATCTATTATTAAATTAAGTTGCAGCTTGTATTAGAAAGCATGAATAAATAGATAAGTAATTAAGTCAATTCACTTATTGAATAATGAATGATAAACTGTATTTTTAGGAGAACAACTGATATTTGGTGGAATCATAAACTCATTCATCCATACGGTTATGTACAGCTACTACTTTTTGTCAGCTTTGGGTCCGCATATGCAAAAATACTTATGGTGGAAAAAATACTTGACACGCATGCAAATCGTAAGTACAATTATTATTTGATTTTAAATTATACTCGAGCTCTTGAAAATATTTTAACTGATAATTATGACATTATTTTAGATTCAATTCCTATCGATCATGGCATATAATGCTGGCCTGTACTCATTTAACTGCAGTTTCCCGAGATTATTTATGCTGTACGTGATTGCCGATGTTACATTATTTTTATACTTATTCTTAATGTTCTATAAAAGAACGTACGAACAAAAGCTCAAAACAAAAGTACACATAAATTGAATGAACAAGAAAAAATGCCTACCTTTTCAATGTTCATGAAAATGTGATTTTCTATATTTTTTTATGTTATTAATATCATTACAATGGTCTTGTTTTTTCCTAGAATAAGTATATTTAATAAGGTTGCTTTCCATTATATGTTTTGTAAAATTCCCTTAGAGTCAAAGAATTACATTGCGAAGTGTGATGTAGTTGATATATGCATAACGGGCGCATGTAAACTCCACCGATTGCGACCTTTTTAGAACTTTTTTCATGTAAACTCCACCGGTACGTTTTTTTTACCTGAAAAAAAAATGTAAACTCCACCGGTACATTTTTTTTACCTGAAAAAAAAATGTAAACTCCACTGGTACGTTTTTTTTTTAAAATTGTAATCCAAATCCAATCTGATTAACTAAGATTACATAATTTATGTGGGTGCAGTTTTATTATAATATATTTATGTATTTAAATACAATGATTTAAAAAAAAAATCATATAAAAATCAATTAGAAAAAAATAGAAAAATCTATAATTTTTAATAATAATTAACAATAATTTAAAAAAAAAATCATATAAAAATCAAATAGAAAAAAATAGAAAAATTATAATTATAAATAATAATTATTATTGTTATTGTTATTTAAAATTATTCAAACAAAGCAACATATTTCCACGTTCACTGGTTAATTCACTTAATGTGTTCATTTTGAAATCAACGGACGCACTAAAATGTGCAGTCTTCGAAAATATTTTATCGAATGCATTCGTTTCGCGGTATCGCGATATGATTTTATCTGCGGTCGTTAAGATGAAGTTTAAGATAAGTCAGTCGAAAGTTGATGTGTATACACTATACATATAGTTTTAATTAGTGGATTTTACCATCGGTGGAGTTTACGTGTTTTCAGGTCAAAAATACGTATCGGTGGAGTTTACATTTTTTTTTCAGGTAAAAAAATGTATCGGTGGAATTTACATGTTATAAATCCAACCCTAAAATCGACTACCTGTAAATCGGTGGAGTTTACAATCGCCCTGCATAACATATTTGTGGAACAACTACTCATACACATGTGATTGATATTTTAAGGACTTTATTTGCTTTGATAAACCTATCGACTTTTAATTAGGTAGCTGATGACAACAATTGTCTGAATACCATGTATTTATATATATTTTTTTTTTTTTATCTTTTTACCATGTATGGATAACAATATTTCAAATGTTATTACTTATTTTATATTTGAAAAAATCTATATGTTATAAACATTAAACTTAGTGTCTCATATATTATCTACTATTCTACTATTTTTAATAATTTTTCATAGGTTAACTTAATTATCCAAAACAAAATTGATATACTTATGTGGTTTATTATTTGTATGACATAATTATTTTATAGTAAATTTAAAATAGATCATTTTGTATTAAATATAAATTTCAAGAAAATTTCAAGCAATTTTAAAAGTGTTTTAAGCATTAATAGGATTTTTACTTTAAAACCATTATAAAATAATTATTTGTGAAGAAAATGTGAATTAAAATTATTATAATAATTATTAAACGATATAAATATGCTCTGTAAAAATGTCTTAAATTATGAAATGGCCACACAAGGTATTGTATTGAATATTCCATGATTTTCTAAAATATAATATGTTATAGCTTTATATTTAATATAATTCACATAATACTTACCATTTAAAAGTTCAAATACCATGAGACATTGTGTGAGTTATCATTATGATTATAAATTATTATACGGTATTTTACATTTTTGTTATTTTATATGTCACCGATATTTTTTTGTAAAATTGATTAATTTTCAAAAGACTGCTATTTCTCCCTAAAACATATTAAATTGGTTTCTTAAAAAGTAATTGATTACCAATATAATAATAAAACATTGTACAATTATTAATTATTGAGATATAAACAATAAAATAACATACGTATGTGTATATCTTTAAAAGTCTAGCTAAAATATTATTTTATATCGTAAGATACCGGTCATTATTAATATCACTAAGTATATAATCAATATATCTTTAATGTAGGTATATGGTTTATACTTATGATTAAAAAATATATAATTAAAATATTTGATGGTTGAATCAGTATTTATGGCTTCATAAACAGTTAGTACTTATAAATTACATTTTTTATTCAATCAACAGTATTAATTTTAAAATAATGTATTATGAGATTTATATATTTATATTAATCAATTTTTATAAAATTAAATTGCAATACTACATAATAATTATGCAAAATTATTGTTATTTATAATTAAATACTAATCCAGTATTGTTAATATTTAATTTGTTTAAATTCAATTAGATACAAATGTGTTTTTTTTTTTTTAATAAACCTTTATAATATACGATATTTACAAGAAGCATAATAATTAAGTAGGTACTAAATGTGACAACATTAAAACAATATATTATATATAGTGATACAGATGGCATAAAGAAGTTGAGTAGAGAAACCGTTCACCAAAAGTTCCTCATATTTTAGATTTTTTTTTTTTTATTTTCAATGAGCAGATCCATCGGGGTAATGTATTTGGTGTGTTATGGTTCAAAATGGTTCTAACATGGTTCAGAAAAGTTTGTAATCGGAGTTAAGTGTGATTCTGTGCGTTGTGATATTAATTTTTTTATCATTGAATAGGCATTTTACCTAGTTTGTTTTTATTTCTCAAAATATTTACTATTAATCTGTTAGTATTAATAAGGGAGTATTTGTTTTAATGTTGGTCGATAGTTTTTAGTAATATTTTGTTAAAATTTGTATTAGTGGGTGTACAAGAGTTTTAAATTCGATTAGGAAGGAGGCAATTTGTGGTTCTATGTTTTCGTTTTGTTTGTTCTGGTATTCATTGTATGTATGAGAGTCTGGTTTGAGTTCAGTTTTGTTGTCTAAAAATAATTATTATAATAAGGCTATTAATTATATTATTTGAGTATGAGGTGGGTTTATAACACTATTGGTAAGTATTACTGTTTCAATTTTCTTTAATTTTATTTAAGTGTTGTTTTTTATAAAGTGGTTGTTGTTTAAGAATTCTTACAGATTTTTGAAAATTTTACATCCACGGTTGTTAGTGGGGTGATTATCATAAGACATTACATAAAGCCCATCTTTCGGGAAGATCTCAATTTTTTTACATGAGTTAGTTCGGCGGTTTTCCCCAAGTGTCTGAAGTGATTGTTGCAGAATGCTGTGTTGTGACCATAGTTCGGCAGATTTTTTTTTGTACATTATTAATTTATTATACAATCTGTAAATTTATTTTTTTACAATAAGTACAAGCGCTGTGGGAGTTGATGGGTTGGTAGCTTGAAAGAAGAATTCATCCAGTGATGGAACTTCTTGACAGATTTAATTGTTTAATTGTTTAGAAGATCCCGGCACCATTTACGTTTCAAGCGCCTGTTGGGATCACCAGGGATGTTAAGGACAGATAAATTTGAAACAAGTGGATTGTAATGGTTGGATAGATTAGAGCGAAAGGGGTTTATAGAAATTGTTGGCTACTTCTTTTACTGTTGAATGGAGAGGTCTTTGTGGAGTGTATCGTTTGATACACAGAAAGGAGCTTTTGTGATTTGACGGAGACATTTGGATTGGAAAGCTTGGATTTTTTTTATATTTGAGGGCTTAACTGAACCCCAGAGCTGTATGACATATGACCATATTGGTTTTAGGAAAAGTTTATATAGGAGGATTTTGTTGTTTAGTTTCATATGTTTGGAACTTAGGAGGAACCGCAGCTGGCGCCTGGCGGGATTGGTTATTAAGGGTAATACGCTTGGTATGGACCAGGTCAGTCTTCTATTAAGTTGGAGAACTAGATAGTGAACATTCTGTGAGGGAGGTGGGCAGATTATTGAGAGTTATGGTAGGGCAGTTGCATTTTCTAAATGTGAAAGTGCAGTGTGTGGTTTTTGATTCATTTATTTTGATTCCCCATTCCTTGTACCATAAGTTTGGCAGTTTAAACTTTAAACATTGAGATGCATGTTTGTTGATATAAGGTGCTTAGATTTTTATTTTGGAATACCATAAATCTTTAAGCTATTGGATATATCTTTGTTGTTTAGCGCTACCAAAATAATAGAGATGGCGTTTTCTATATTCTGTGACAGTTGGTTTATAATTTTTTTTCACACCAGCACTGAATGTTTAATTTTCGATTCTGGGTTAAAGCTGTTGAAAATGACCTCTTTCTGTCAGTAAATTATTTTTGTCCGACTGGCGGAGATAAAGTGAATATCCCGGAATGTAGGATCTGATTGTGTGGAAATCCTAGAATGTAGATGTCGGAAAAGTGGAAATACCCACTATTAATGTCTAAATCAAATATACAGGATGTCCCGTGAGGATATTTGAATGATTTTTTTCAATTATTCGAATAATAATGTCTCAAATGATTTGAAATCATTATTGTTCGAATAAAAAATTATTCGAATAATTTGAAAATATTAATACTTATTATGAAATGTAATAAAAAAAAATATTAAAATTTAAAAAATTAAAAAAAATTAAAATATCGTTATTAGAATAAACAATTATTTGAATAATTCGAAAATATTATCGAATAAAAAATGTTTTGAATCATTTTTTTATGATTATTCGAATAATTTTTAAACATAGTTATACTAGTGCAAAATGTGTACCTATTATAGAATGATTATAATTATTCTAGCATGTCTACACTCTACATGTATGTAATATGTCTCTCAGTAGTAACTATTTATCAATATTGAAAATGATTGTACCTAGAATATAGTCTAGTTTCAGATTTATTTACAACTATTTATGATTGTTGTAATTGTTAAGAAATATGTATTATCATTGAATATTATTCATATTACAATATATTTAAATCATTATTATAATATGATTAAAAAAAAATATATATAATATAATTCTTTACTTTCTTATATAGATCTATATTTGTTTTACCACCATGTATAATCTGTTTTATTTATAATATTATCTATATAAAATTTCATTCGAATATCGCCCTACTCTACCATCGGGTCCGTTCCTACACCACAGCAGCCGCCGCAGGTTAACATATACTGCAAAGTAGCTGTCTCGTGGAGTCAATGGGATGGTAACCCTATCTCGGATGCATCCATCCGTGCATCACATGCAGAATTTGCTGCACTGATTAGGCATCGATCTAAATCGTTTGTGAGACCCCAAACTCGAGAGATCACGACTTTCCAAAGATTGCCAAAGCTTTCGGGCGTTTTGTCCGGAGTTCGTTGAAAATCTGAAGCAATAATTCGGTCGCGATCTTTGGACGAATTATCCAGTGCTGTGATATTCGACATATTGATCTGATATAGGTCAATATATTATACGAAAAGTACGTTATAACTTATAACTTTTAGGCTGTACCTATAATACATTTTCGTGTGTTCGTTATAACAAATATGTACTAACCACTGACTACTGAATACTATGACACAGAAACGAATTATATATATTTTAAAAACTTATACGCTGCCCATAGCAACCAAGTTTTTAAAAAATGGGTACTAATATGAGTTTATTAATTATGATTTAATGTTAAAATGTAAATAGCAAACTTGTAACTCTAAATTATGCAAATAATATTGCTCTACTGTACATTAGGTGTCTATAGAGTCACTGTAATGGATGTGTTAAATTTGAATTCAATGATATAAAATCATTATGTACGAAAAACGATTCTGAGCAAAGACAGTCTATCAGAATATAATATTACTAAGTAGGTATATTTTATGATATTATTGGGTGATTGAATTAATTTATTCTACTATTAGGCATTAGTAGGTACTAGAGTAGGTTAAAGTCATTTTTGTCGAAAAAATTGTACTTAAAAATGTCATTATGTATAAATTATAATAATATACCTACTCTAAAAGTTTCAAGGACCCACGAATAATATTCTCAAATTACAAAAAAATAAATAAAATCGTTATTCTTGGGTTTTATATGTATTTTTTTCTAAATTTAAACTTAAAATAACTATAAAAATCAACTGTGTTTATATATTTCTTAATTTTTTTGTTTACATGATGAATTATACTTACGTGGAACCTTGTTTTCAATTTTTAACTACAAAATAATTTGTACATTTTAAAGTTGATAAATTTTGTCAATATTTAAATTTAAATGCTTATAAAAAAAATCTTGCCTACCTATATATTTTAAACAAATGTTGTGACAATGTGTGAGTAGCCTTGTATAAAATATTCAAGCTTTTTGACCAAACGAATAAAATTTGATTGATATTTAAAGAAAAAAAAACTAAAAAATTCAAAATTGTAAATGTCTATGAATAGCTCAAAACGAGTCATAATATTTCGAAAATTGTATCATTTATAGAAAATGATAGAATAAAAATTTAGTAAAAATTTTAAGTATCCGAGTTCCTTCAAGTCCTATCTAGAAGACAGGCACTTCTCCGTACGATATGGCTCAGTCCTATCTGACATATCATCAATTAGAGCTGGAGTACCGCAAGGAGCTGTAGCGGCACCTCTTTTATTCAACCTGTACACATCAGACCAACCCACTACCAACTTCACCACCACCGGTGACTTCGCCGATGATAAAGCCATCCTGGCTCTTCACCATGACCCTCTCGAGGCATCCAGCAGAATCCAAACCCACCTTGACATCCTCTCGACATGGTACAAAGAATGGGGGTTCAAACTCAATGAATCCAAATCCATTCACTGCACATTCACTCTCAGACCAATAAGCTGTCCCTCTATCACACTCAACAACCAACCACTCCCGACCGCTCAAAATGTCCGTTACCTAGGCTTATGCCTAGATCGTCGACTCACGTGGGCTAACCACATACGTAACAAACGACTTGTACTAAATAATCGTCAAAGACAACTTCGCCTCCTCCTATCATCCAAACATCTCTCACTACACAATAAAATCCTGATGTACAAAGTACTCCTCAAACCTATCTGGACCTACGGAATCCAACTCTGGGGTTCAGCCAAAGACTCCAATATAAACCGAATCCAAACATTTCAATCCAAATGCCTCAGGCAGATAACTAAAGCCCCTTTTTATGTTACAAATGATACCCTCCACAGGGACCTCCTCATTCCGACAGTAAAAAACGTCGCCAAAACCCTATATAAACGTTTCCACCTTAAACTTTCAAATCACCGAAACCCTCTCATCCAAAACCTATCTTGCCGAACAATCCCGGGCGACCCTGGCCGACGTTTAAAGCGTAGCTGGTGCCGTGACCTACTAGTCGACTAGTTGACGAGTCCACCATCCTGCCATGAAGTGCTATTAATGAATAGTCTCTTCAACAAGTCAACCATGTCCAATTACCAATATATTATCATTATCTCCATTGTACTTATTGTAAATATTTTTTTTTTATACAGATTGTACAAATAAAAAACAAATATGACAAAAAAAAAAAGTATCTGAGTTTATTCGTTTTTGAATTACGACAAAATAATAAAATCGTTCCATGATTAATCGAGTAAATATCCAATGTTGTAAACATTTTAACTTCCAACGCTCATAAAAATTTAATTTAACTTTCAGGTCTTTTTTTATAAATACCTTTAGACAAAATTATGAGGAATCTTGTATTATTATTATTAACAAGGCCAAAAATAAATTATCATATTTTAAAATGTATCTAAATTGTTACCACGTCGGCGTATCACTATCTAAATTTATATTTTTTATTTTGGGTAATATTCTACTATTTTACTTCAAATTCAGTGGTGGTTTAGTAATTTTATTATATTTATGGCATGTTAAAGAGTATAAATCTTTAAGAACAGTGATGTATTTTATTCTCATCGCTAAGTGACTCACAACCAAATATCGAGTACCTACTAGGCCTCTTTTAGATACCTTAATCCGGGCTTGCCAGTTTCCCAAGCATTTATTGACATTAAAACTTACGTCTTACTATATTTAAGCGTTTGAATGGTTCCAAGATGTACCCATTTGAAACCGAAAGTGAATACCCGATTGAAAACTGGTATTATAGTTCGTCAAATGCGTTGAACAAATTAAATCAATACACGCTCGTGGCTACGCATTAATATAATTATAAATATACAATAGTTCACGAGAAGAATATGAAGTTCTAATAACGAAATCAGTGTTTTGTCTTAATTTTATCGACGTGTACACATAACCATGAAGTAAACCACACGGTCGTTTTTTGTTAACCGAAACAAATTTGTTCAAAATCCATTTATATCATAGTACAATTAACACAAATTAGATTAATTAATTATTTTATCCTATATTAAGGACCTAAAAACATATTCATCTTGTTTTACTTATAAATAAGGTAACTACTTTAAGTTAAATACATTTGTGCATTGTATTTAATAAGTAATGTAAAAGATTATTATAATTTTAAAACTTAAATACTTATTTTTTATCTCGATATTTTCAATACAAATTGTAACTTTTTATTGCAACAAGTTTTACATTATTTATAGTATTAATCGATATAAATATATTTTTTTCTGTTCAAGATCCACACTTAACGTTGATGAAAAACGATTTCGTTTAAAGTGAAAATAAAACAAAAATGACTGAAATTTATACATCCATACTAAACTATATACTTCAAACAAAAGATTCTCTTAAAGAGTTCGTGAAAAGTGAAGTCAAATACGGTGAGCAATAATTTGTACAGTCGATTTTCTAAGCATACATACAGATCATGAATTGTAAGCAGTTAGATGATATCTGCTGCTTATTATTATTTATTATACTTAAATAAGTAAACAATAAAACGTAGTCAATAGTATTTAGGTTTTATACATCAGCTATCATATTATTATGTATGAACTACATTCGAATGTGCTATATAAACTATTACGATGTATATAACATAATGTAAATTAAATATTAAAAAGTGTATTATTATATAGATGAAGAAATCGATTCGTGGTTATTCGTAAACAAGCCATGGCCCGTGCTCGGGATAATCATTGTGTACTTATTGTTCGTAATAAAAATAGGTCCAAAAATGATGGAGAATCGGCAACCATACAACATTACTAATGTAATTTTGGTTTTCAACTTTATACAATTCTCCTACAATGGTCTGCTTTGTTTATGGGTGAGTGGATATTTAAATGTTTTATGGGGACAATTATTACAATATTATGTTAAGAAAAACTTTTCCTTTATGAACTTTTTTATTAGAAAATTAAACTCTAGGAACATATTGTATAAGTACATAATCATTGCTGCAATAATTCCTTGACGTTGATGAAACAACGAATCGTGTTTTTTTAAATACCTACCTACTTTTCAATAACATTGTGTGGCCTCGACATTTTTAAAATGCCGAGGATATTTATCAGAATTTTTCATGTTAGTCAGTAATTCGCTGTAGTGAATAATTCCACTTGTTATCGCTTATGGTTTTAATTTTAATTTTATTAATTTAATAATAATAAATGACAGCAAAATAATTATTAACAAATTTTTTATGATACATATTTCATGTGTGTATAATATATATATACACATGTAATTATTTTACAGTATGCTCACAACGATATTAAATATTTTAAGTAATTAAAAATGTTGAACTCTATTTTATACACCCAAATTGCATTCTCTAGTGAGTTATGCAGATTCAAAGATAAAAAATATAGGGCGTCGTCTATAACTACAAACAAATTAAGTTACAACCCACATATTTTGTACTCACGAAAATGTGACATATCAAAAATGTTGTTTTATAAAAATTACCAGAGCCACAATTTTATTAAAATATTAAACAATCATAATAATAAAACATATCTTGATTAAGACTTTAAACATATTCTCTTAAATTATTATTTTTATTTTAAAAACATAAAGTGAAAACTATAGCATGTCCTCACTTTAATTTTAATTTGATACTCATTGTTTAACTGTATTATGTATAATATAATTAGGTATTTTATAGCTCATGAACATCTCATTCTAAAAATCATAAATAATATATCAAAACCTCGTTTTATCTTTCATAAATATATTAGTATCTATCGTTTAACTAAACCTTAAATATCGGAAGCAATTTTTAAAGCAAATGTATTTGTATGTGAGGTTTATACAAAGACTGTTTTTATGAGATATGTTGTGTCATAAGTTATTATGTGTATACATAGTTATAGTTACCAATACAGAAAACATAATGTATCTCTTCTCTCATCCATAAGTAATAAAATTGAAAAATGAAAGTGACAATATCCGGAGCCTGCAGGATGTTAAAATAAATAACATTAGCTGTCATGCTACAAAATCGTAAAAAACGAAGTTTTTATTTAAACATTTTTGTTTTTCATTTTAGATAATTTTGACTCCCGGTATACCGCAGTATATATTTACTCACCTATGTCATATCACTAATGAAACCCAACACGAGAGATATTTAATAAAATGTGTGAGTATATTATTTTATTAATTATAATTGCTAAATAATTCATATTAAGCAAAAAAAAAAAACACTTAAATACATTATCTTACAAAATGTTTTTGAGAGTCTGACATTGGAACTAATAAAATAAAGTAATAATTTTGGACGGCAGTGACTTTATTATACAGGAATATATCAATAAAAGTGATGATCGTTTAACTCCAAGTGGATTGATAAATGTATTTGCAATACAATGATATTATGAACTTTTTAGTTCTGTTGGTAAAATTGTTTTTTGTGGAAAAGTGCTTCTAAGTTTTAAGTAACGTTTATTCTTCAGTTGAAAATGTTAACTGGTTGAAACCTAATTTGTGCATTTACATCTACCTCAATTCATTCAAAAATATTCAAAAATATTCCATTAGATTTTTTCACACACTGTGTAAAACTATAAACATGGTTATACACGACTTATCGCCAGTTATGCGGGAAATCAGTATATGATAGATATCTTAATGACTCACGAGATGCTAGCATGACTCTCCAATGACGATTAACTGAACTTTGTGTACCTTAACATGTTTAAAACAGGCCATTTTTTGATTTCATAATTAACACTATAAGAAAAACTACTAACAAAATTATACTGTAAAGATGTTATAATTGTAAAGATAAAAAATACATTACAACACAACATAATATTATATAATTATTAAAAAATCCATTTTGGTTGTTTCATTGTGATTCACATAGGCGTGCGCATGGGTAGGGCTGATTGGGCTTTAGCCCTACCTGAGCTTTTTTATACGTGGGTGGGTTGGTACCTTATGAAGACATGACTAAAAGTAGGTATATAGCCTTTTTAGATTTTAAACGTTTGTGTTTACCCGAGAGACTAAACAGGGCGATTTATTTAAAATTAAACACTCATTATTTCAAAAAGTGTGATTGTTTTTGAAATTATTTTTTTACATAATTTTGAGTCGCTTACAAAACAACTTTGTTATTAAAAAATTATATTTTAAAATATTTTTTATCCTTCTAATTTTTTTGACAACATAGAGTTTGAATTTCATATGCCAAAGTAAAAAATTTTTCTAAGTATTTCGATACATAAAAATCTAATTTAGTGCGAGTAGTCTATGCGTTATAAGTATTTAAAGTTTAGATGAGCCGAGTTGAGTGGTACGGGGTTACCCCGCAAAATGTATGTCCACTACTCAGCTCAACTAAATTTTAATATTTATATCTCTAAAGTTGATTTAAAATGAATAATGTTAATTGACAATTTTTAATGTTATATATTATATATTGAACGTTTTTGAATAAATTGTTGTATTGGATTATATTTGATTAAAATTTAAATCAATATTGATGAATTTTGTATGTTTGAAATAATGAAAATTGATTGCTTACATTTTCCAGTAACCAACCAAAGGGTCACTTAAAAGTTTGTAGTCAAATGTGAAAATGTCTAATTTTTTTCTTGTGTGACCATGACAAGGGGGTGGGTGATCAGATTTAATTTAGCCTTACCTGACCCAGAGGTCTGAGCATGCCTATGGTGATTGAATAACACTATTCTATTGAGTATATTTGAGTTTTTACCTAGTATTAAAGTTTTATAAAAATCAATAATTTTTTGGAATTTAAATTTTAAGCAATTGAGATTTTTTTCAAACTCAAGTCAAATTAATTTTCAAACGTGTTTATTTGATGAAGGATGAAAAATAATGGCAATACAAAAACTTTGTTTTATGAATGTGCAAAGTGGCCCATATTACTAACATTATGCGTCGTGATCCGAAATAGAGGACTCGATTAAGTAGGTAACCAACTGATGCATGCAGACAGATATATACCTACCAGTATAGTCCTACCTATATGCTTATAATACTCGTACATTATAAATCCCTATAACGAGCCTCGGTTAGAACAAGGTAATGCTTATACATTCAAATATACCTACAATTACAACGAGTATCTGTGATTATAGTAGGTACGAGATATTGGCTAAATGAGCTAAAAATAGTTTTGGGGTAGGTTATTTTTGGGTTTTCCATTTACAACGAGAAAAACCGTTGGCCCACGGAATTTATTGTACCTAACCGATTTCTATTGTAGGTTTTATAATATATAGGTCAGGGGTGGCAAATCCATGAAACTGGTGCCCGAGGTGGCACACCAAAAAATGTTGAAGGTACTCGAAAAATTAAAATATTTATAGTATACATATATATTATTTTTATTTTTAATAATAAATTACATCTTAATGTTGGTACTTTTTCAGTATCGTTGCCATTTTTTAAAAAAGATTAAAAAAATTTGAATTCGCACTCAATTTATTTAACGATAATTTTTTTCTTACAATATTAAATAAAAAATATATAGGTATATAATATATTATATTATATTTTTCATAATTTAATTTCACGCTCAGAAAATAAATGTAATTTTTGGCACGAATCATCAAAAAAAATGTGCCATCCCTGATATTGGTACCTAGTTATAGTTTATACGTCCACCGGTACCACAGAGAGGGCACTCTCTATCATGGATTCGATTTGAATTCACATTTCCTAGTGTCAGTCTATAACTAAGCATAAGTTCTATAAGAGTGACACCAAGTGCAGGCAATGGTGGGTAATTCAATACTCTAAACATTTCTATAATATATTTTAATATATCAAACTCTAATATTATGAAAAATTCAATACACAATACTGTTCATTAAGCAGAATAACATAAATAAGACTGATTGATTTTTAAAGTACACGAGAATACGATTTGGTACGAATTAGCTTCTATCCCCCTCCCCTAGGTAGATACAAGATAAATACCTACTTGGTCTATTATCTATATAAATTTACTAATGAGTAATGACCACAATGATAGCAAGTAATGGCATATATAACTAGCGGTAATATTGTGCTATCGTACCTATGCATGTTGTGCATAATACTAATCTCATTTATTGTACACAATATTGTTTTTATATTGTAACACTATCAGTAAGCTGTGTACCTGTGATACTAAATTAATTTATACATTGATGCTCGATCTTGGATTTCAGTGAATCATTCGTTCGTAGTGTTACAATAACTTAGTAAATTTAAAACACATTCTTGGTATATAAATAAATTTATTACAAGAGCTAACAAATATTAAATTATATATTATGTCTAACTGTTAATTATGCTTAATATGTTTATTTTACCATTTTTTACCATATAAATTGTTATAAACACTTATTGTAGATTGGTACTCAAATACTCTTTAGTAATGAAAAGTCATATTAAAAATTGTTTATACTAAAATATAATATTGTTGTGTACACAATAATATGCGTTAAAATAATAGATGGGGTGTACTAAAGGGGATGTGGAATGTATTATTTTAGAATCTCTAGACTTGCCCGAAAGTGTAATAACTTGCTGCAGTAAGCAGTTCCCCTTGTCACGTTAAAAAGTCCTGTCACCACTACTGAATGTACTAATTATATTTAATAATCTATTTATAACAATTTTTAATTCCATAGCTACACACTGTTTCATGGTTTTACTTCATGTCCAAGATTATTGATTTGTTGGATACAGTAAGTTTTTCGAGAATACTAACAATTAAAATAATAATGCAATATTATATTATTATTATTTACTACTACGTGATATTGATTACAGGTATTTTTCGTTTTGAGAAAAAAACAATCCCATGTATCGTTTTTACATGTTTACCATCATACAAAAATGGTAATCTCGTGTTGGATACATATAAGATTTTTTAAAAGTAAATACATTTTTATTAAATATTTTATTATTGATTGCTTTTTATACTAATTATTAAAATCGCTATTGATAGAGACAAATGCATTCCGTATTTATTTAAATTATTTGAACATACAATAAAAATATTAAGATTTTAAATCAAAATCTGAATCCTTCAAAATCGATGCTATCGTTCAAAAAATTGTAAATAATAATGATATAAAAATAAAATAGTAAAATATTTCATTTTCTTTTAAAAATGTTGGTTTGTAAATACTCAAAATTATGTTATAAAAAAAATATTTCCAAAAACATGTATACATACCTTTCTCGAAAATAAGTGCTTAACAGAACCATCATGTATATGAGATATATATATATATCTCATGTATATGATATATATATATATATATATATATATACAGGGTGTCCCGTGAGGATTTACTCATTAGCCGTAGAGGGGGACTCGCCGCCCGGACAAAAACCAGTTTATTGACGTTTTACTAATAAACTAAAAAAATTATTAAAAATCATGAGATTAATGAAAATAAAATGTTAAAAGCTCAAAATGTTCACAAAAATATACTCTATAGAATGGCCATCTTCAATTTTTTCAAAAATAAAAAAATAAAAAAATAATTTTTTTAACTTTTTTACTAAAAAATTTAATTTAATTAAAAAATAAAATATTTGTAGTGCTTACCTCTGCGAGTCTTAATAAAAAAACATAATTACGATATCTCCATTATTTCAGGAGATATCGCAATGAGTAAATCCTCACGGGACACCCTGTATATATATAATATAATATTATAAATGTTTTAATTTTATTTTATACCTATAATAATATACATTGGAAAATTTATATGTAGAATGTAACATTTTACAAATTAGTAATAACACACATACGCCCTGTATAATAAAAAATGTAGACTTATGTGCGTCGTATTAGAAACTGAAAACAAAGCACTAATTTAAACATCATTAAAATTGTAGGAATAGTAGGCAATACGCCAATACCTATAGTTGAAATCCGGAGTTTAAAATATGCTATTAACAAAATATCAAATTTAATTTAATCTAATTATTATTTATTGCTATACATATTATATTGATTTGAAATTTAAAAACTGTTAACATGTCTCGCATGTTTTAATGTATATACTCTTACGGGCTAGACACATTAGATGAATAATAATACAATTTTTAATTAATAATTACGTCTACAGGTGAACAAGCGGCTTATGGTGCATGGCTCAACTCAAGTGTTCATATCGCTATGTACGGATATTATTTCCTTGCTGCTCTTGGACCATATATGCAAAAATATCTGTGGTGGAAAGTTTATGTGACTCGATTACAAATTGTGAGTATCCAAAAACGTAATTATCTTATTGGTACTGAGTAAAATGGGAGCAAGTCGTGTAATTTTTAATTGTTTTTTCTAGGCTCAACTATTCATCGCAGTAGCTTATATGGCTTATCTGTATAAATATGACTGCACCATGCCACGAGCGTTGGCATTTACCGTAATTATCGATCTCTTTGCGTTTATTTATTTGTTCATGGATTTTTATAAATCAGCTTATAAGGAAGATAAATTAAACATAATAAGCACAGCTGACAAAAACAATAAAGAAGATAAAATTGACAAAATAGTTAACGAAGATAAAATCAAATCGTCATAACTTCATAAGCGTTGGTTCTATTCATATATAATTCGTTATAGTACATACATTTTACATATACTTATTTATAATTAATTATATTCATACTTGAAAATATTACCTAATGAAAGTTTGAACCACCAAATGTGTATATCAATAAGTCAAATACAACCAGGTGACTAAAAATAATTGCAGCAATTCTATTTGTAAGCCACCTCGCCAATATTTCTTAAATATTTCTCTCGTGAACTATTTTACAAATTTAAGATAATATTTTCTGTGATCTTATGGATTTTTATTTTACTTTAATAACTGGTTATATTTGAAAATAATTTTAAAAAATATATCGTTATATAAATATTTATTTAGCTATTATTAATTGTTAAATATTTATATAAATATAATTATTCATTTTGAAATAAATATTTTGATAACTAAATACAAATTTGAGACAATATTTTTTGATACTTCACAATTATTTTTCTATTAGTGACATAGTGACAAACATACCATTGATGTTGGTTTGGTGTTCTCTTAAGAAATACTGAATAACTTTAAAATATTTAATTGAGTTTATTGAATTGTATAGTTTAAAATTATACAGAAATTAAAAAACTTTAAATTACTGTGTATTTACTATTTATATCAACAAAAAAAATCACTATTACTTTACATAATATATATGAATGTGATATTATCATATTTATTTATACGATTAAAATCATTGATTCAACTACATAATATATCTTAAGTTTAATCAATAAATACAATGCATGTTTGTGTTTCATTTTTAAGTATAAATAATAATTTTACTTTAAAATACTGCAGTATGTGCGATGTGCCTATATCAAATGTTTTAATTTTCAATAATAATTAAAATAATTTTAGGACATAAGTAATTAAGACTATCTTCTTTCTAAAAAGCAATGTTATATATCATTAATCATTATATTATTGTATTCTGGTTTTTTACTTGTGTAAAAGATTGAGGATGCCAATAAACGAGTAGCATTTTTGGTTAGGGTGTATTGATTGAAGAAGTAACTCACTTATATAGATTTTTTAGCGTATACTCATTAAATGTACAATGATACTCTTATATACAGCTCCTATTAGACATTTTAGGGATGTAATCAAAATGTTCTGAAATTATTTGAAATTTTAACTATCAAATGGTGAGTAGGAAACTGACCTATTTAGTAAAAAAACGATCTTTTTTTAGTACAAAACATACTTGTACTTGATTTCCGTTATAATTAAAGCTTGCCTATAGAAAATATTATTTTTACTTTATGATAAGGTTTTTTTGTTCTTGCCATTGCCACCTAGCTACATGAAAATGGCATGTACCTAATACCTACCATATACCCACAATAATGTATAATAATATTATATTAAGTACCAAATTTAATATTGTACCATATTAATTACAATTGTAGTATTCAATAAAAAAAAATTGTTAAGTATAATAATTAAGATAATCTATATATATTATATAATATATATAAAGGAATTTATCTTCCTGAGGGATCAACATAGAGCCCAAACCACAGGGCGGATCTGGTTGAAATTTTCAGGATGGATTAATATTATAATTTCACAGTGCTTTAGACTTTAAGAATGAATTTTTGGAAATTCAACCCCTAAAGTGGAAATTAAGTAGTTGTAAGTAGGTATATAACAGTTACGTAATCTATCAAGCAATATCTAATCTTAATTATTATTATTATTATTGATTAGAGGTTGTCATTGGCAATATAATATGGGCATAGGATATTATTTTTTGTTCAGTTATTTCACTTTCATTTATAAAAAATGTCATCTATTGAAGAAATGACTGTGAATAGAATGATAACATCTCAAATAGTTGTACCAATTATCTTTTATCGTTAATGGTGCCTGCATTTTCCGTTTAATTTCCTTTCATTTGTTTAACACTCAAGAAAGATGCCAGGAGATCCGAAATATCATTGTTGCGTATGTCTTTAATAATTTGAATACCTTTATTAATATGTCTTAGAATTCATATGGTGACAACTTTTTCACTGCTGAGGATTATGTTCGTGATATGGGCAATTCTACTGTCTACGGTGGTTACTGCAAGTTTTTTGCAGCTGGAAATATTTTCCTATACGTATATAAAATGTATTATAATAATAATATTTATGCTAAATTTGGTATACATACATTTCCAGTAAAAAGATTGCGTCTAACTGGCAATATTCATAGGGGGTATTTTGATGTTGATTTATCTATTTCTAATATTCTTAATGTTACAGAAAATAACGTAATTGTTACTTCAGAAGGTGATTTGTCTATTTCTAATAATGTTAGTGTCACAGACAATTTAATTAATAAAAGAAAGAAGCGTTGCCGTGCTAGATGTACAAATAGACCTCGAAGCAACCAAGCTAAGGAAGCTAAAAAAAAGCCGAGAAAACCATTTTTCGGTCTGAAAATCAATTGCCCAAATGTAAAATTATTAAATTAACTGGTCTTGCATATGATCCCACAATTGATTATAAAAATTACATAAATAAAAAAAATTATATAAATTGTAAATTTTGTAAAGCTCTCAAATGGAAAGGCTTTCACCTGGCACGTGATACAATATAGGTAGAACAAAACTCGATAATTTGTTACAGGCACCAGAACCATTACAACTAAATGTATTATTGAGTCCAGATAACAACAATACATAAGCCCCGCAACGACGGGTAATTCAGCTAGTTAAATAATAAACGATTTTATAGACTGGACATTTAAATTTTTCTTAAATGGATTTTTTTCTTTTCTGTCCATGTAAACACTAAACAATATTACTTATATAAGCACCTGTAATTTATAATCATACTAGCTGATCCCGTGCACTTCGTTTCCCGTTAAATGTACCAACTCTATATGACTCAAACATTGTTCAATGCGTTATTTAATATTCGGTGTATGATGTTCTAGATTTATCTTAACTTTTCTGTTGCTCGGAATAAAAATTCTGAATTGCAGCAGTACATTATCAGATAGGTAATTTACCTGCGGTAGATCGCGGACCCCGTGCTGTTTGTACGTAAGTGTATAGTTTAACTCAAAAAGTACCAAAGTTATACCAAGTTTGACGTTTTTACTTAATTCCACCTACCTATAAATCCTAACCTAACCTAACCGTACTAAAATCCGATGAATAAAAAAAACCAAATTTAACCCTTTTTAAATTAGCGTATCTTGAATCTTCTTCCCATAGGTCATTCATTTATGTATAAGATATATTTACAAAAAATAATAATACAAATCAACAAACATGCCCGATTAACCAATAGCAACCAATATAATATAATACACCATAGAGTAAATAATGACAACGGTATCGAGTTCAAATCCCAGACATCAATAAATAGTTTTTGCAGTTTTTCTAATTATTCGGTTGACTTTTTAAAAATTTTCTTTCGTAAAAACCTTCACCTGGCAATTACGAACATCTTAAAAAAAATTTGAGCAAAATCGGCCCAGCCGTTCTCAACTGATGCAATTTCGAATTTTTTGTCTCCATTTTTATTTATAATCATATAAATAAAATGTATTACCAAAAATACAGTTGCATATAATATTTTTTTTTTAACGAACTTGATACCTTCTCAATAGGTATTATAAAATAATAATAGTAATCATTAGTTATTTTTTAAAGAAAGAATTTTATAAACACGCCCTTTTATATGTTGTTTTCCATGGATATGTAGGTACCTACTCATTTTTTCTTTTACTACATAGATAAAATTAAATTTTGTAAGTAGATGAAGGTAGGTGAAATGATAAGTGGATAAAGGTGTTAACTAACAATTTTGAAATTATCCAGGAGAACAGTTTTAGTGGTTTAATTATATAAACGTTTGGAACTTTTTAACTATTCAAATGCTAAGAAATGTTTAAAAACAAAAATTATGTATTTTAAAGTCATAAACAATACTCTGAAATTTTATAAATTGAATTATAAATTTTATCTGTTAATAAAACAATAGGGGATTAATACAATAACACCTAAACCTTAGATTCACTAAACGACAGATTGTATAAAATTAATAACACCTTTATCGATTTGATATCTCCAGAAATATTAGTTATTTTGTTCTGATATTTGTATAGCCTACCTATGTAATAAGTCATGATGCATCATTTTATGTAATAAAAACGATTTTGAAAAAAGTGTTAGTTAAAGTTAGTTTTAAGACCTTCATCCACTAACCCCTTCAATTTACATTTTATGCATTTGCAAAACTCTTGGAATATAATTGTTATTCGATAGTTATACAATAAGTTACAATCAGACGATAATTATTATTTTAAATAAAACCTCAATGGTATTGATCATTGAAAAGTGTATTTTATAAAACTATGGTCAGAAATATTACCGAAATTTTGTTTCCTCTATCTATCATTCCGAACAATTTAAAAAAGATTGATTAAAGCAAAATTAATATTTTGACTAGTTTCTAAAAGTTGTTTTATTTTGATCAATTTAAAATTATTCATCCAGGACTAACCACCGATTATAACTTAGCTGTAGCTGTGAGCTTATGTAGATAGTATCAAGAGTAATAATAATTTCTAGTTCATGTTTTTAACTTATTAATTTTATTAAAAAACATGAAAGTTTTGTTTCTTAAATACGGTAAAAGTATAATAGTACCTAATGGATGGATTTAAATTTAACATTGCCTGTTAAAACGTATTAATTGTTACAATGGTGCTCAGAGGAGGGTGACACTCAAATTGCCTCCCAAATTTAGGTACCAAGGTGACCTTTTTTTACTCGAATTGTCTCCAGTTGTTTTTGGAGGCAATTCGATTATACCCAAACTGTCTACTCGAAATGCCTCCCGTAACTTACCTGGACTATCAATTAATATATCGATAGTTTTTGTGCATCTACTATCGATTATTATATTGTTCCGTTCAAAAATGTTTAAAAATAAAATATTTAAGACATACAGTATTTCCCAGACCGATTCATTTTTCGAATGCAATAATCT